ACTAATTTATAAATTTCTTATAATTTACTTTAATAAAATTTTTTAATTTATCTTAAAATATAATTATAATTATAAAATTATTTTAGTTTAGCTTATTTAGCCTGCTTATCTCACAATTTAAAATTTTAAACTTGATCAGGTCTATAATTTTAAAATTTAATTGTTAAACCCAACTTGATCTGCAAAATAAGCTATGTTAAACTAGATAAAATAAGCCTTAAGACTTAATACAAACCTTTAGTTTAAATTATAAATAATTAATTAAATCTCTGTAATTTGTATATAGTATATATACTATATATAAATAAGCAAATATTATACCCTGGTCATTATATCAAAATCGCAGAGCATAAATCAATTATACCCTGAGCACTATGTGTATAAGCAGGACTTTCAGCCTACTTATACCCAACTGCCCAGGATATAACTATTATATATTGTATAGAAATATAGATATCAATAAACAAATTAAAGATATAGCCTTATCTTAATATTAAAAAAATTATTTAGTATACAAAAGTAGATTTACTTAGTATTTAAAGAGTTATAGTTATTTTTTGTCTAAATGTTTTAGGATTTGTTTTGTATAAATGCTTTACAGAAAAAGTTTATTCTATTTTTTTTAATAATAATAAATATTTATAATATATATATATCAATTATATAATATAGAGTTATATTAAATTTTACATTTTCTCACTTTATTACCAAATATTAAATTATTCATACGAACAAAAGTTATGCAAATATAAGTTGTATTTTTTTTATTTTAGAATTTAAAAAAATTAAAAATTATCAGATTAAAATAAAAATGGTAGAAATAAAATTTTAAATAAGTTTTATTATAAGCAAAATTTTGATAAATTTTAAATCCGTCATAATACCCACACTCACCTTATACTATTATACTTAGTCACTGGTTTGCAAATAAATTATAGCTTAATAATCGATATATAACTAATTAAAACTAGTTTATATAATAGCTACCAGTTTGTAACTAATATAATAATTTTTAATAAGTTAACATCCCTATTACATGATAAACAAATAGTTCAAACAAATTGGCTTAAGCAATAATAGTTTGAGTTCTAAATTAAGTCAATATACAGTCGAATCTCCATAATTGCACCCCTTGGGACTAACTATAAGAAACCATTTATAGAGAGTGTGCAATTAAAAAAAAATAAAATTTTTTATAATTATTATATCATTTATTATTATAATTTTTTTTATTTAGCAATTCTATATATTTTTTATTTCAAAATATATGTATTAATATGTATTATTAATGAAAATACATATCTATGCTAGTTTGTAGCATTGAGTTATTTTTTTTCTTTCTAATAAATTCTCAATACTATCTAATACTTTTAACTGCCTGCCAGTTTCTTCTTGTTGAAGTAAAAACAATCTAACATTATTCAAATTTTCTAATACCGCAGTAGCATTAATAATTGGTAATTCATTGCTATCATCTCTATCTTCATCTATTTTGTTTGATTCATCAGTATTTTTAGGACTAAACACACTAACAAGTTTCTCAATAATTTTATCATCCCCAGAAATATCATAGACAATATTTTCTTCCAGAACATTCAAAAATTCATTAATACTCATTGCGTTAGAAAAAGACAAAGAATCAAGTGCCTCAACAAGTTAATTATGTGCCAGGTCATCAATTTTAAAAATAAATAAATAAATACATAAATAAATAAAATAAAAATATTGTAACGATAAATAAATAAATAAATAATATAAAATAAAAATATTGTAACGATAAATAAAAAAAAAATATAACAATAAAATACAAAATAAAGTTTACAATTAATATTAAACAGGTTATTACCTAATTTGTACTGAATTATTGTCAGGAAGAATCTTCATTTTGCACTAGCAATTTGTAATTGTTTCAATAGTGACTTCTTCCCAACCCTTAATTATGTATCGAATACTGGAAAATATCCATTTTCAAGTCTTGGATTAGTTCCCCTTTGACCTTCTCTAAAATCTACCTGAATATTAGTTATTGCAATAAATAGTATTAAAATAGCAAATTAATACGAACAAATAAATTAATGGATTAATAAATTATAAATTAATATTAAATGAATAAATAAATAGATAAGCGAATGAACAAGTTAATAAATAAGTAAATAAATAGAGAATAAATAAATAAATATGTAAATTAATAAATAGTAAATAGATAAATAAATAGATAAATAAGTG